ACCTGTCATACCACACAAATTCAACCAGGGCAATCATAAACACAAATCCATATGACCTATAAAAAATTTCAAACATGAATATCAATTGAACTATCAACATAGCAATTTCCGTATCTTAAACTACTAGACCACCACTGGGTGGACTATTCTCCGGTCAAATGAGTGGGCATTATTCTGGCCCTTGCAACGCAATAAGATCTATTCAGCTTCCAACAACACGACAAGTTCGTGTATGGGCCTAATGTTGCTCTTTCCTGTAGAGGCTAAGCGCACACTCACTTTGCGAACTTTTTTATCATCTGCTGTGAATACTTCGTCAATAATGCCGATCGGCCACTGATTTCTTTTCGCTTGTTTGTCCTTGACCAAAACAACGTCTTCAACTTTAATGTTCCTTTGGTCTTGTTGCCATATCTTCCTTGCTTGAAGGGTGCTCAAATAATTAATCCTCCAGCTTTTCCAAAATTGTTTCGCCAAAATTTGTACTAGTTTCCATTGGGCACGGAACATGTTTTCCTTCTTGTTTTCTACCATGATGCCTTCCGTACATGGATGTTTTTGCGTCAACAACATTGCAGGCGTCAGATATATGACGTCGTCTGGTTGATCACTAAGAGGCATGAGATGACGGGAGTTAATGATGGCTGTTACTTCTGCCATTAATGTAACTAGAACCTCATGGGTGATGTTTTTGTACTGGTTATTCAAAAAGATACCATCTAGAATCCGTCTGCTCATCCCAATCATTCGCTCCCATGCCCCTCCCATATGGGAGGCATGGGGTGGATTAAGCTTCCACTCTACTCCACACTTCCAAAAGTATGTTTTCAACTCATCGATGGCTCCGACAAAGTTTGTCGCTTGATCTGAGTATAGCGACTTTACTTTACCTCTGAGAGCCATAAACCTGCGGAGTGCATTAATGAATGACGATGACGACATTTCCTCAACAACCTCTATATGAATAGCCCTGGTGGACAGACATGAGAACATTACAGCCCATCGCTTACTTCTTGCAACTCCGCCTCTCGTCCGCCTTGCAACCACTTCCCACGGCCCGAAGCAGTCAACAGCTACATGGGAAAATGCTGGCTCACAGGAAATCCTGGCTGCTGGTAGGTCAGCCATGCG